TTCCACGAAGGAATAAACGGCCACGTGTCCGTGACTAATTTGAGCCATCAAGTTTGACTTGGTGATGAAATCCGTCAGTTCTACTTGCCTAAGACTCGCTATGCATGAATGAATACTTTTCCAACTTTTAACCCACCAGTAAAACTGAAAATTAGCAAAAGACAGGTAAAGAAAAAGAACAAAAACAAAGAATGATTTTTTTTTAAAGACAATTGAATTTTTTTTAAAATAAATATTGCGAAAAAAAAACATCCTGGCCTTAGTACAACAGCAAAACTAGTCTTTCATTCCAAGAGTAATTCAAACAACTGAACAAGTAGATTTTGAAAGCGACTATCAAAAATGATATCAACACGTTGCCCACTAATTGGAGTAACTGGGTAATATAAGGGAATGCGATAGGGGCACTTCGACATGCTGTAATGGTTAGCAAGCTTGCCTCGCTAGATCAATCAAGGCTGAGAGGCGACTTCGAACTTCACTGGATGCTCCCAAATTTTCAGCCTTATGTCGCGTCTAATTTACGCTTAGATACATCAACTGGGCACCTCGACGTGGTGTAATGGTTAGCAAGTTTTTCTCGCTAGCTCTTGCGACTGAGTAGCAAGTTCGATCCTCACTAGATGCCCCATACTTTCGGCTACATCTAATCCAAGCTTAGAAAATCATTACCATAAGGTAAAACGATCATTTCCATAATCGTTCGAGCACTAGCTATAATTCGAAAGACGGTTACATATATATTGGAGCAGCTATAATAGAACCAAAGTGATGTCGAACTGAGGAAGGTTTGTGGAATCTCTAGGTATTCAATAATACATACGAAATGTTTCTATGACACTAATGCTATTATTATTATTATTATTATTATTATTATTACAACAATAATAACAATATTTTTATTATTATAACAATTATATCTATAGTAGAAAATATGCAACTTTTACGGAAAGGAAACTGCAAGAAACTGGTATGAACGTCACCCAAACCCGGTTAGAGACATAGGACCTGTAACAATTTTATGGGATATTACAATACACAGAGACAGATCAATCAAAGCTAATCGCCCAGAGATCCTGATCAAAAAGACCATAAAAACAGAATGTGCTTCCTTATTGAAATGGCAGTTCCTGTAGATTTTAATGGATCTTTGAAGTTTTTCAAAAAACTAACAAAATACAAGGGTCTTGAAATGGAAATCTCAAAAATGTGGTACATGAGAGCATTGACAATTCCAGTTGTGGTTGGAGTCCTCGGATTGGCTGGAAAAGATTCTAGTAGACTCAGTGAAGGGATTCCTGGTAGCGCATACCTTAAAGAAATACAAAAGATTGTGCTCACAAGTTCAGCTTATACATTACGAAGGGCTTTATCTATGTGAAATGTGTGTGATCTTAGATTGTTTTTGTTCTATTTTTTTTTTTTTTTTTTACAAAAATCATTAGTGGAAAATGTCATGAAGACATTTCTGACCTTAGGTCTCTGGTTGAAATTCCGGAAGGAAATTTTAATACAACAGAAATCAAAGGAAATAATAATAATAATAATAATAATAATAATAATAATAGCAACAACCAGTATATAAGAATATGTATAGAGGATAGAATAATGGAGATTATCGTGGAAAGTTAATTTGGTGTTTCGAGTTCAATTTCCACTTGATTCTGCTTAGTTTACTTCGCGTTAATGCCGTTTTAAAAGGCATGGATCTATCTTTCTGCAGACTGGGCTCTCTCGCTTGAAGTGACTGAAGAGAAACTCTGAATTCAAAACCAGCCTGAAGAGGGATGGAGTCCGTCAGTTTATCTTGTTCTAGACACCCTACTACTGCTCTGGCTGTAGTAAATGTGGAACCTCTACGAGCCTAGTGGGATATGGAACCCACATACACACTTAAGAATGTGACAAACTGTAGTTAAGAAGTTGTTACTGTAAAACACAATAAATCTAACCCTCTTTAAAACGCCGTTAGTGATTGAAATTGTTAGCCAGTCCGTTGATATTCGTTGAAGAAGAAATATGTTTTACAATTCAAAGATTTTACGCTTCTGAACATAGTGTTAAGTAAAGTCGGCCGGTAAAGTAATTAAAATTGCGATTAAGGTTTAATTGTTTGACAAGACCGGACATTATGTAAGTTAATGAATTTGTTGAAAAAATGCACAGAAATAAAGACATCAGTGATAAGTGAGGATTGAAGTGAACAGAAACCCAATTACACTCACTTGAGTCAACACGTGATATGTTTTTCAGCTACTTTCCATAAATACCACACACTGAGATCGCCTCTGAATTCACCTTCCTAAAAAATCGACCCTGGTGAGATTCGAACCCAGGTCTCAGGATGTGTGTATGTGTGTGCATGTGTGTGTGTTATCCGTGATATGTTTTTCAGGTACTTTCCAAAAATACCGGAAGCTGAGAGCCCCTCTGAAGTCACCTTTCTAACAAATCGACTCTGGTGAGATTCGGACCCGGGTCTCAGGATATGTATGTATGTATGTGTGTGTGTGTGTGTGCGAGCGCGCGTGCGTGTGTATGTGTGTGCGTTATAAAATTTTAACAATATAAAAGATTATAGGATAGTAATAAAATAGCTCAAGGTATAACAGAGCAAATTATGCTCGTCTATAACGGATTGTTTGGCAATTTACTTGCTGGTGCGTTTTCACCTATGGATCATCCGGCTTTAAGTTCCAGTATGTTGCAATTAAGCCGTAGAGCCATAGGTGAAAATACGCTAAGATGTATTTCGTAAAACTGTTCGTTTTAATGATCTTATACACACAGACACTATATATATATATATATATATATATATATATATATATATATATATATATATAGTGTCTGTGCGTATGTATATAAGATCATTATATATATATATATATATATATATATATATATATATATATATAACAACTTGTCAGTTGTCAATATACCTCATAACACCCTCGACCGCATAGCCTTGGAGCGAGTAGAATGGAGATCAACGTGTTTAGTCAACTCAGCAGTTTTCAGTCAGCTTGTCTGAATCGTCTTCAAGAAGCGAGGGCAAGATCTAAGAGGTCAGAAAATCTAACAGTGATCTCATCCCACAGTCCTTACTCTTGCCCTATATGCGCCATCTTTTGTAAATCACTAGCGGGTCTTAAGTGCCACCTAAGATTATCGCACAAAATTTCATAACTGAATCAATTAATTTATCAGATCCTCGTACGTCGAAACCTTGAATGGCCCCCGGGTCTTGTATATGGTGAACCTTACAGTAAAAAAAAACAAAAATTATGAGGAGAGAGAAAGAATTTTTTTACATTGATGTTCACCCTGTACAACGCCCAAGAGCCACTTGAGGAAGAGTGTTACAGAGTAAGAGGCACAGTTTATGCGGATATGGATGGAAGATAAAGGTTAACCATAGATTTAAACAGATTAAAATTGCAGTGATCACGGATGGTTCCTCTTGGGAATCCGTTCCACAAAGCAGCTGTTCGTGGGAGTAAGGTGCACCAATTGAACTTACGTCTCATCAATGGAATACAAAGAGACGTCCAAAATCTTCTATAAATAGATTCACGCATGCAAATTAAATACACTTTTTTACGGTTTATCAACCATTTGTGGGTTATTTAAAACCGAAACATTTTGGATTTTTTGACTAAATCATTTTTCGTTCGAGGGAATATTCTAGTTACATTTTTTAGAGAGAATAACAGTAAGTTTTCAAGATACAATGTCTGCTCACTTTCTATACATTTTATTAATTTCATTTCTTTCTTTCCTTCCTTCCTTAATCGCTTTTCTGTTTATTTCATTTAAATTTTTTCTATTTTATTTTGTCTTAGTTTCTCGCACATCTATCTCTCTTTTTATACTTTTTATTAATTTGACATAGTTGGTGGAAGGTAATGAATTCATTCTTTTAGCAAGGGTATTTGCGCGTAAATGAATGTAACGAACCCAAGTGAAAATCGAATCTGATTTCTCATTTCGATCCACTATCCATTACACCACCCCCCACATCCACAAATTAGACACATATCATCATGGATAGTCACGTATGAACAAATATCTACACTACATGCATTTCTGTGTATGTGTGAGAGTAACAGTATTTTGCCCACGCCTATTACATACAGACACAAACACACACACACACACACACACACACACATATATATATATATATATATATATATATATATATATATATATATATATATATATATATATATATATATATATATATATATATATATATATATATATATATATATATATAAATTCCTAATCTAAAGCAAAGATAAAAGCTCTCAAGGAGAAAACACAAAGGTTGATGGATCAAGATTGGTGAACAGGTGTACTCCTTGGGCCTTAATCCAGTCATTTAGATTGTGAAGACTGTGTACACTGGCTTTTTTTTCTTTTTATTCTTCTTTTAATTCTTTTTTTTTTTTTTGAATAAAACATACTTATGTCTGTATGCCACGTGTGTACCCGTGCCCAACATGGGTACATGATGGTATATACGGAAACTAAGGGGGACATGAGTATATATATATATATATATATATATATATATATTCTCTCTCTGTGTGTGCACGTGTGTGTGTGTGTGTGTGTGTGTGTGTGTGTGTGTGTGTGTGTGTGTGTATTCGCGCACAATTAGAAGTAAAAAAAAAATGGATTCTTATGAGAATGGCAGTCGTTAAGGTTAACAAAGGTCCAGTACTTGAATCACGGTTGGTACGTGCACAGACGGACTTTATCCGTTCGGTCAACACTGAAGTGGTCAACAATGGCGACAGAACAGCCAACAAGAGGCTAAAATGTGTGGAGAATAAGTGATGGTGTGGGCAGATAACGATAGATGAATGATGGAAACTGTCAAAGTAGTAAATAACGATGAATAAGCAGCTTGGGTCCTTAACATTCGTTCTTTCTTACTTTCTTTCTTTCGTTTTGTTTCGTTCATCCTCTACCTCTTTGACTTCTAACAGTTTTGTATTTCTTTCTACACATCTCATTCTCTTTATCCTTTTCATTAATTTCTTTCTTTCTTTCTTTCTTTCTTTCTTTCTTTCTTTCTTTCTTTCTTTCTTTCTTTCTTAATCGCTGTTTCACTCATCCATTTTATTTTTTCTCTATTAGTTTGTCTTCGTTGCATTGGTTTTTCTTGTTTTATTGATTTAATTTTCCTTTCATTCTTCTCTTTCATTGATTCATCCTTTCTTTCTTTTTTTCTTTCATTCTTTCTTAATTGTTGCTTCGCTCATGCATTTAATCTTACCCATTTTTAATTATTGTATCTTCATTTCCGACTTTTCTCTCTTATTTTTTTTCATTTTTCTTCCTTCACTTCTTTCTTAATCGCTTCTTCATTATTCTCTTCTTTTTAAATCGCTTATTCATAAGGTCTTCTTTCTTTCTTTTTTAATCACTGTTTTGTTAATTTTTTCTTTATTTTATTTTGTTGTCATTTCTCCCCATCTTTCTACTTTTTATTAATTTAATTTTCCTGACTTTCTTCATTTCTTTCTTTTTTAACTACTTATTCATTAAATCTTTCTTTCTTTCTTTCTTTCTTTCTTTCTTTCTTTCTTTCAAACAAAAGAAAACATGGCGGCCCTAACTTGATATCTTTTGCCGTTGGATTAACCAACTAAATACACAGCCTATTCAAATAATCAAAACTCATATAAATAGCTTACCCATCTGAGAATTTATATTTACTAGGGGGCATGTTTCAGCCCCCAGTGTTTTCGTGTAAGTAAGCAGCATGAAGCCTTGTGTATAAAAATAAAAAGTCCTTCTGAAGTGTCACTATATTCACCCAACGCCATTGCCGTAAAGTATGAAAAGTAAAAGATAGTGAAATCCGAGTTTTTGGACAATTATCAATATAAACAAATACAAATTTGCTTGAAAATGGAAACAAAACGGACAATTATAATTAAAATCAGGAGACAGTTTAAATTTCCGAGATACATAATGAGGAAAGAGAGCTTGGAAAACTTGTCACTTACAGGATATACTGACAGCAAGAGGAGGTAGAGGAAGACAACAAGTAACCTACTTAGCCGGCTTGTGTAAATAGATGCCAGAACAGGGAGTGGAAGACAAACATTGCTAATAGCTATGAAGTATAGGGAGTTGTGGAGAACATTGATCACCCACGTTTTGAAGGGATGCTGTACATAATAGATGATTGCATTATAAATCAAAATTTTGGACAAAGTATGTACCTTTTATGAAAAATGATGATCAGGCTGGAAGATATTGAAAAGTTCAGCTGTTTGGGGCTTTATTTTAAAAATCCGAAAATCTTGGACAAAATCTATTGACATTTAGTGAACACAAGCGGATCACAAGAGAGAAAGGCTGGTTCATATGGAACAAAAAAAGAGGACAAAATACAAACTACCACTTTATTATGCGTCAGAATACTGACTCAATCATTAACCGGGAAAAGACACAAGTGCTGTGTGGTTGGGAAGCCCTTGAGTAAATAATAATAATAAAAAGAAAATAGTTCACTATGATCACTCTGATATAAGCTTAACATTATTTACTTTCGTTAGTGTAAGTTGACAAAGCTGTTTCCACACACACACACACAAACACATACAATGGTACACACAGACACATAAAAAATCCTCTTTCAAGTCAATCAGTCATAGTTTTGGAAATGGGTGGGGTCGAGAACTTTTCAGCATTACCTCGAATATAGGTGAAGAAAATAATCACAAATGGTACATTTAATATGTCGTTATATTTTAAATTGGATAAATTAACTCCAAAACGCAGGGAGTCTTAACCGACACGTTTCACGATAACGTGGGTCAGTCATATGCGATGACATTTATATATATATATATATATATATATATATATATATATATATTTGAGAATGATAGGTTGCAGCTTTTATCGATGCATATTTGTTTTTGTTTGGTTTAGATGACTTCAATAATTTTCAGTGTACTTTTTATTTTGAATTTATATATTATTTTGGGGTCGTTTATTTACTATGGTTCTTGAGGTACTTGTTAACGTGCTGTATAATAGCACTTGTGTATAAATGGCACGTAAGGGTAGTTATTGTGTAACTTATATAAAATATATTATTCATTGTTTACAGAGATACAATCTCCGATTGAACTGATAAATTCATAAACAACATTAGTCATAAGTAGTGGGTTGGTGAGAATTGAGAAATATTTTTTATAATTAGATTGCTGATTTTAATTTTTTTATAATGAATGATAAATTTTATATGGGTATGTTTCCTATAGGTTTAATATGTTGATGTATCATCATTTTTTATTGCTATTTCATCGTTTTGTAATTCTGGTCATTTGATTTCTGTAGAATATGTTAATTGTATTGTTATTTGTGCATTTAGGCAGCAAATTCTCTTTTAGGCATGTCTGATTGAATAAGTTATAAGCGCTATGTCTGCTTATTTTGATCATAATCCTTTCATATTCACGAATATGTTTCCGTATATTACAATTAAATGAGGCAAGACATGTACTTCAAATTGCCTCATTTAATTGTAATATATGGAGGAATATTCCTGGATATGAAAGTATTATGATAAAAATAAGCAGACACAACGTTTGTAACTTATCCATTCATATATATATATATATATATATATATATATATATTGTTGTGACCTTGTTAGGACCAGAATTAAAGACACAAGAGAGGGATTGAGTTAAATAAATATATTAACATAAAACATTAACACAAACATATACAAACGAGAGTGTTACAACAAGAATATTCGGTCCGACTGTCAGAGCTGACTGCTGAAAACTTCACACTCCAAAAGGCAGTACCTGCTCCTGTTTATAGCTGGGAGAGTCCATGCGTGCGTTAGTAAATTACCACAACACACACACACACACACACACACACATGTATATATATAAATAAAACAGAACGTCTACTCAAATACACGTATCCATTAAAAATAACGTTTGAAATAATATATATATATACACACACACATATATGCATATATTATTATTTCAGACGTTATTTTTAGTGGATTTGGGTAGACATTCTGTTTTATTTTAAAGTGTATATATTTCGTCTACCGGTTTGTACACTCGAGAAAACTTATAAAAGAAAATGTGCTTTGCGGCAGGATTCGAACTTCCGTCCATCTTATCAGGATAAACCACTGTCTAATTCGGGTGGGTACTTTAACCACTCAGCTACGAAGAGCTTCACGGCTTGAGTGCGTGCGTGTTAATATATATATATATATGTATGAATATTTAATGTACGCAGGTGCGTTTGTATGTATATATATCAGCAAATGAATATAATTGTGTGTTTATGACATAGAACACGCATATCTTTTTGCGTTATTATTATTATTAGTAGTAGTAGTATTAGTATTATTTCTCTTTCCTTGGAGGGATTAGTCGTCGATGGAGAAGGAGATAAGTGTTAAGGGTGTGTAGGAAAAATGATCAGCAAACCAAACGCCCATTCGGACGAGTAGTTTTGGAGAATACCTTTGTAGTTAAGCTTACAATATCTTTTCTTAATCGTTCCTTTTTTCTAGGGACAGGCGCCACCTTCCAGCAATTTTACTCTACAATTCATTAATGAACAGTGGAAGACGCCACGACACGCGCAAAGATTTTTTTATTTTATTTTATTTATTTATTTTTTTTTTTTTTTATTGGGGTCTCCAAACCAAAACCAGTGACAACTCTCTTCTTTAGACCATCGAATCATTTAAAAGCAATCTATGAAAACGTTCATACATTTTATATCTATCTATCTATCTATCTATCTATCTATCTATCCTTTTCATTATATATTTTCTATCTGCCTCTCCTATCAATTTACCTGTTTAACTGTCTTTACATCAATCACACCATTTATTTTTGGCTCACTGATATTCTTATCTATCAAATTATCTTATTCTCCCCCCCTCTCTCTCTCTCTCTCTGACTATCTATGTATCTATCTATATTTATATCTATATATTAAACCCTCTCTTTTTCTTTTCACTCTCTCTCTCTCTCTCTATATATATATATATATATATATATATATATATATATATATATATATATATATATATATATATATATATATATATTAAAACTCTGAATCTTTCTATCTGAATTTTACGTATTAGAAGTTCAGCTGAATTTTTGACAAGATAATGTACAATAAAGAACTAGAGGCGCAACAGCCAATAAATTAGTAAATTCAATACATTGGACTTTTATTGCTTTATCTCTCTCTCTCTCTCTCTCTCTCTCTCTCTAAAAAAAATTAATGACGATCGCAAAAGCGTGAAACCCAGGGTCACAAATTCACATCAATACAACCAAATATGTTAGCTCTATCTCTGATATTGAGCGTTTTCTAATAAGTACCGCGCATATAATATACAAATAATAATGTATATAATATGTATCATATATATATATATATATATATATATATATATATATATATATATATATAGCATCATGACCCGGCGCTGCCTGTGCTTGGCCAAAAACCGCTGCACAATTCATGATCACTGATGGAACCTCTTTGGTGTGGTAAGACGACCAAAATCTACAGACGTTCCACCCAAGCACTGCTATAAATAACGGATGCGAACGAGAGCGTTATAACTTAGCCAGCATGCGTTCTAGATCTCTCTATGCCAATTGCGTACTTTAGCTCCTTTACCATAACAACAGTCCCAATACTTTTTGATCATGTTTCGCATATATATATATATATATATATATATATATATATATATATATATATATATATATAGATTTTGCATAAAACAATCAAAATACTCTATGTAAAGCACAGAACTTTACAAATACAATCATAAATATATAAAATTCTGCCTTCGTACTCTACCGCGACTTCATTTCTTTGCAATCTCCCAGTACCATAAGGTTGACTTCATTTCATTTATGTGTTTGAATCTCCCAGTGTGTGTGTGTGTGCCTGTGTGTGTGTATCTTATTTTTATAGGTCACTTATACTTAACATCAGAAAGGAGGTAATTGAAATTTCTAGGGCACATAGTGCGGAAAGAGGAAATTTTGATAATGACAGGACATATTAAATGCAAGCTAGAGACAGGAACGCAACGCATAACCTACCTAAAGCTTGTGTAAATGGTTTGTGTATAGGGATTAGGAGAAATAGTAAAAATACAAAATTTACTAAGAGCTACAAGGGACAGGAAATTGTATAGAGCCTTGATCGTTCACGTCCTCAAGGGATACAGCACATAAAGCAAACAAATTGCTATGTAATATCGGTCGTCCTATATGGTAGTAAATACTGGATAATTTCCTCACAGAGAAAAAGGAAATTTGTAGTTCTGCAGAATCGTTCTGAGAATACTATGGATGGGGCATGTAAGCAACGAGGATTTTTTTTTTTTTTGAAAATGAAAACAAAATGGACACTTATGCTTGAGATCAAAAAGCGTTAAAAATTCTGGGACGTATAATGAGCAAAGAAAGCTTGAAAGATTTCTATGAAAATTGTCCAGCATTCACTGTTTTGCCGGAAGATTGATAACATTTCAGCATCCTTCTTTTTTTTTCTTCATCTAATGACATTTTGCCGTTACTTAATTCTTTGCTGATTTTTTAGAAAACATCTTTTGCTATTGCAAAGACTGTTCTGGTGTCGGTTTCATATTTTCTGTCATCTGCAAAAACGTTTCTCAGTTAGTTGTACTTCTGTACTCGTTTTATTATTATTTTTATTTATTTATTTATTTATTAATCGGAATCCCCCCAAGCAAGGCAGTATTGCCACAAACACACAAGGGTTTACAGGGTGTGGAAGAATTAGGAACAGAAACATTAATGATGAGCAGAAAAAGAAGGGAGTAATCAGGTAGACAGTAGATAGCGATTGACATTGAATTTAAATTTTTGCAGATTAAAGTTGGCTGAAAAGCATGGGGCTGGAAGGGAGTTTCACAAGTGAGAAGTGCAAGAAAAGAAACTGTTAGCATAGAAATACGACTACATCTAGCCAACTCAACAATAAATTAATGGTATCTCGACGCCAGTCTAGTGCTGCGCTTAAATTCATAAAGTTTATGTAACATGACGAAGAGCACATTCGAACAATTACCATGAAAGTATTTATAGAAAAGACATAAAAAGGCAACCTTACGGCGGTGAGAGAGTGTCTGGAGCTCATTCGCCAGATCAGGACCAATAATATTGCAGATTATTCTTTGAATCTTATCAAGGTTCTAAAGGAAAATATCAGTGGCACCGGACCATATGTGGCAGTAATATTCTAAACATGGACGAATTTCAGTTTTTTTTCTCTTGATGACAAACTTACATTCTCTTTTTTCAATTTTTGTTAGTCCTTTTTTCTTGCTTTCCTTTATTTCTGCAGTTTCTTTCCTGTGTTTGCTATCAACACGTAGACAATCTTATGGAAATAGTTGACACTTCATGCAATTCAGCTCTGAGAAAAATATCAGCAGGAAGAATGCATACCAATAAGTCTTCCATCGTCTCAAGTGACAGGTATAAACGAAAGAAATTGATCTGAGTGAATCAATGTATAATAGTAAGAACAACTCAGAAATTTAAACAAAGAATTTGTGAAGATGTTTAAAAATCAGAAGTGAATTTAAATTTCTTCTTTTTTTTTTTTTTTTTTTTTTTTTTTTGAGTGACTGTTTTATTTCAAATACATTTCTCATTTTTCCTCTTGCATTGCTATAGAATTGTTAACTCGCCGTGCTGGTACGTTTGGAGAAAATTAGGAAATTGCCATTTTGAATTTAAGCGCAGTACAAGACTGGCGTCGAGATCTCATCAATTTACAGTTGAGCTAGCTAGATGTAGCCGTAAATTCTATGCTAATAGCTTCTTTTCTCGCATTTCTCTCTTGTGGAACTTCTTTCCAGCCCCAAGCTTTCCAGCCAACTTTAATCTTTAGAAATTTAAATGCAATGTCAAACGCTATCTACAGCCGTCCTTATTACTCTTTTTTATTGTCCTGCGCTTTATTAACGTTGATTCATGTAACAAAAAATATCATTCGAATTTTCATGAATAGAGCTCGCATCAAAATGACTATAATGACGCTGACATAAATTTCTCATGGGTGCCGCCATTTTGTTTTCGATCGGATTCTCTGTTATACAGAATATACTAAATTACACACCAGAAACAGAATATAATAAAAATGCGTCACAAAACAGGTCATAATGTATGCTATTATATTTTATGCACTTATATTTTTATACTTAGTTCTTATAGATATCGAAGATTAACCTTTTATCTCTTGTATTGCTATAGCATTGTTAACTTCCTGTGCATTGTTAACTTCCATTTGGAGAAAAATAGGAAATTACCATTTTGAATTTAAGCGTAGTACAAGACTGGCGTTGAGATCTCATCAATTTACAGTTGAGCTAGCTAGATGTAGCCGTAAATTCTATGCAAACAGTTTCTTTACTCACATTTCTCGCTTGTAGAACTCCCTTCCGGCTCCATACTTTCCAGCCAATTTTAATCTCCGAAAATTTAAATGCAATGTCAATCGCTAACTACTGTCCCCCTGATTAGTCTTTTCTCTTCCCGCTCATTTGTAATGTTTCTGTTCCTAATTCTTCCACACCATGTAACCCCCTTGTATCTTAGTGGCTTTAGTGCGTTGCTTGGGGTGAAATGGATTAATAAAAAACGAATTACTAGAAATAAATGACTATAATGACGCTAACATTAATTTCTCATGGGCGCCGACATTTTGTTTTCGATCGGATATTCTGCTATACAGAATATACCAAATTACACATTCTAAACACAATATAATAAAAATGAGTCACAAAACAGGTTATAATGTATGCTATTAGATGTCGACACTGGTTTGATAATGTCACTAAGCGCTAGTTTATAACACAAACGTTAGGGAGCGATATTTCACGAGATTTTGAAAACGGTTATGAACATTGACAACAGGCGATGTAAGTACAGGAGAGAAGTATAAGTACGTTTTTCAGCAGTGGGATTGTTAAATAAATAGTTTTAAAACTCGTATTTATTCTTCAAATACTATCTTTATGATCTCTCGTTGTGTGCGTATCAAGTGAGTGTTTTTTCTTTTCCTTTCTATAGTTTTGTATGTTTGTGCGTGTTACTTTAACGACTAAAAACTATTACAACCGCAACTATAAATACAACAAAAAAGTCTCCTTGATAGTCCAAACCATCTGCTGTTCGCTGTCCATCAAAGAGTCGCCCCAAACTCATTTTAAAGCGAAATATACCGGCACAGAATAAGAGGCATGAGATACACCGCAGAGTCACAACTTCAGAAACCATTTTTCAAGCAGTGCGGGTTTTGTACGTGTTCTGTGGCATAAACCGGAAATAGTTATGCGGGCGGGAATTATCGGCTTAAAGAGTTGAGCCTCGTCTCGCCCTGTTGTGGTGACAGTCAGCCAGTCGCTAAGTGATTAGATTATTGTGATCGATGATCAAACATATTTGACTCATAAGAAAAGATTTTAAAAAGTAAAGACTTCTTTTCATCTACCATTTCTTGGTTACGTTCTTATCTTTCGTTTTTCCTCTTCTATTTATTTTACGATTGAAAATTTAGTATCTGAAGATAATCAGAACAAAATAATGTTCATAAGTAAAACTGGTATGTCTGCATGGAAATTTATCATTACTTATATTATTATTATGAGGTAAAACACCGAATAGAATAATAATAATAATAATAATAATAATAATAATAATAATAATAATAATAATACAGTTAAGAGAAGAACGAGATTTAAGAAAAGAAAAAGAGAGTTTGACAATGATAAACAATATTTCGTCTTCTTCGAGTTAAAGTTAAACATTCTTTTTTCAAGTATAAAAAATATATAAACCTACAAAAAATTATAAGTCATTGCACAAACGTTGCTTGTCTAAGATTTATTATAATAA